TGGTTAATTTTGAATAAAAAAGGTCTTATGAGGTCATGTTCTAGTGCGTGTCAGGCACACCTCTTACTAAATTGTTGTTTGAAATGAATACCCGAATCTTAAAATTATGGTGGGTATAAAAGTATAGATACCCACTTGAAATTGTAAATACCCACTTAGTGTAAAAAATATGGGTATCATACCCAAATGGCCAAAGGCTTATCTGGAACTCTGGCAGCTTTGTAAACTCACCATGGACTGAAATTGGTGTCTCTTGCTGTTGAGAAATGTTGCTGTCAGGAAGTCAGTGCAGCATGTTGGACTAATATGTACTAATAAGTTGGGCAGAGGTTCTAACTATTTATGGCATCTATCAGTTAACTGTCAATAGAATGTGTTTAGTAGGACTAAGTATTTGGGTATTTCAGCAAGTGAAGAGGCACACAAATAGTGATTTTACTCTGTGTAGTCATTGGAGTGATGCAAGCCAGTTATATGACCTAAGACCTAATAACTCACCTAGATGCACAGGACTTTCTGTATCAAGGTTGGTCTGCAAGGGGCATGTGTGAAGTCAACTATCACAGCTGATGTGCTACAGATACAATGGTTCATGATATGGACGTAATGCAAGAAACCTTTCCAGCTAATATACAGTATTACATTTTTATGTTGCAAAAATGACTTTGTTATTTGTTTCATATATGTCAATTAGTCCTGGATATATATGCTGTTGTCTGCTTGTGTTAAGTGAACTGCAATGAAAAGTATGATCATACTTAATAGTGTAAGATCTAGGTTACCATCCATGAGTGTAAGTACAGTATTACATTGTGTTACAATACTTGCATGTCAACCAGTGACATTTCACTTGCTGCAATTTATCCATAAATTGAAAGAAGTTGTGGAGATTTTACTGCAGCTTTGTTGAATATGGTATTGTAGCGTATGCTAAAAAGACCACAAAGTACCATAAAAAATCCTGCTGTCCGAAGTATTGCTGGAGTGACTGTCTGTCTGTCTGTCTGCGTGTGGTCAGATCTGGAACATGTCTACCAGTGTGTAGTCGCTGCTGGAGTGACTGTCTGTCTGTGGTCAGATCTGTAACATGTCTACCTGTGTGTAGTCACTGCTGGAGTGACTGTCTGTCTGTGGTCAGATCTGTAACATGTCTACCAGTGTGTGTAGTCACTGCTGGAGTGACTGTCTGTCTGTGGTCAGATCTGTAACATGTCTATCAGTGTGTGTAGTCACTGCTGGAGTGACTGTCTGTCTGTGGTCAGATTTGGAACATGTCTACCAGTGTGTATCGGAGGATATTCTGTCTGGAGTGACTGTCACCAAACCAGTCCGTTCACAAGCTTTCACTACCAGATGACATTTTGAATAGACATGATGCTAGAAGTACAAACAGCCTTTAGACTTGCCTGCATCATGACAATATTTGTCTAAAAAGATTGCTATTCCTTTGTGGAGACTTAATACTTATTGAAGCATTGTCAAAGTCCTATAGTCAACAACAAACATTGTATGAGGTTTTCTGAAACATAATTAGATTGACAAGAACTCTTTCTATTTCTATTTGCAAAACATACATTACTAGTTCATCCATAGGCAGCGTTTAAAATTCCCGCCTGCCCGACCGTCCAGAATGGTCTGTTTTCATCTCGGACGGTCAAATTTCAAAAGTAGCCTGTCGGTGGTCTGGTAGATATATTTACCCCTGTCGTCAGTTTGAGGTGTTTACGGTATTATGATGATTATGTTAGACTACTTACGATTGGCCAGTTCATGTTACGATAACTAATCACAGCAAGTGTACTTTCAGTTTACCTTAACTCGGTCCATTGCCTGTTAGTGCTATGTAGTTCAATGCGATGCCTACAAACACTGATTTTGTTTTTTACTGTTGAAAACCGGACAGGCAAGTTTGTATCTGGACTTGTAATTTTTTTAAGTTCCTGGTCCTGCTGTCTAGCTTGGAATTTTGGGAGTTTTAAACACTAGGACCATCAACTTTCCAAGACAGAACCTAAACTGTTCCATTCTGAAAACATTCCACTGAAACACTGAGCTGTTACTAGGTATGTGTTATGTTGATGGAAACCAATCATTGTGCAGTGGGTACCACTACTACCAGTAACTCACTACATCAATGAAGGCCTGTCAGCCGACTGTCCATCGCCCACACAATCTCTAAACCACCACTGTTGTGCTGTACTTTAGGACACTGCAGGTATTGCTCATGAACATGCCTCAAGACAACACTATCAATCTGTAAGATGGGGAAGGAAGGGCCTGAGATGTGCCACTAGACAGTGTGTGACACTATTGATGAGTATTTATATATATGGTGTCACAGGTTGCTGTCTGGATTTGATTACTCTTCTCGTAACCTGTTGAAGGTAAAACACACCTGAGGTTACATTTTGACATTTTTTACAACACCAACACTAAAACTCCACTCAAATATCATGGTTGGGTCAGTTGTAAGAGCCACTTCATTTACAGATTAATTTTATTCAAGAGATATTAGCACTTTGTTTACTAGTTTCATACAGGAGATATTAACAGTACAGTGCGGAGGTCTGGGGTGGCCCCTCATGAATGTGATTGGCAAAGATAGAATGTCAGGGTCACTTCTTGCATTCCAAATCCTTGAGAGCAATCTTTTCAACATAGTAGACAAGACGTAACATCTTTAGGAGAGGTTCTTAACATTGTTAATAACACTATTCAAAGGTGTCAGTTTTGTAAAATCAAAATGGCCATCATGAACTACAATGAACATTCAGGCTCACTCTTCCAATAAGAGTTTTTCCTTTGCCACAACAAAGTTGTGTGGGAGATACAAAAATTGGCAGTCATGCTTCAAACTGAATTTTTCAGAATGTTGTTATTTTTTCCAGGGCATCAAACTGGAATTGAGTTCTAAAGAAGGAAGTGTTTGTTTCCATAGTGTAACTCAGTAACTGTACAATATTTCTTCGTGAATCAAATACTGAGCATCATGCAAATGATCAAATGAGTATAGCTCATTAATCATTCTATATTTCTTGATGAAACTTATTTATTCACATCAAATATCACAATGACAGATGTATTCAATATATGGCCTCTAGGCCCAAATATACATATGTTAACTGTTGGCTTTCTACACACGTTTCTCAATAGACTCTAACAAACTGATGAACACTCATCTTAAGTTGCTCGAATGTGTTCCTTGAGCATATTTCACTTGTCTTTCCTTCTGTGGAATGCTATAAAGTCACCCTGTTGCAATAAATTAAATTACGTTGTTACAACAGTCATTGCAGTTGTATTAAAAAATTGCATATTGACTTTGACATGTAATGCTACCATCAACTTTGTTTTGTCTGTCTTGGATGCATAATAATTAGACTGTGGACTACATAGATGATGTAACTGTGACATTGTTTGAAGGTCTCTTGAGCTTATCGAACTGATGTCATGGTCTAGTCAGCACAGGTCCTCGTGTCGATCACATGTGATGGTAGCGTAGCGACCGGCGAAAGCAGGTGGATGGGGTGCACCGAAGTGTCTGGCCTTGTCATAATGTATTGTACTGTGAAACATTTTGAGTCGGGCATCATCTCAAAAACAATATTTTTTATATCTTTAATCCTTGCAAAGACACGAGGGCCTGTGCTAGTCAGTTGTCATCAGTGGTGCATCAGAAAGATCATTTCCTCAGAAACCAATGGACCAGTGAAGCTAAAATTCTACATGCTTGTTTGCATCAACGATCACTCTTGCTTGACAACGGTATAAGAATCTATACCAAAACATTGCATCATATATAATTAATAAGTCGTTATCCATAAAGTATTTTACTTTCTGATGACATTCCAGTTTTTCAAATCCAATTGTCAGTGTTGCAGTTGCTGTTCAAGATCTTATAAGATTCATGTTGAGTTTGTGCTGTGGCATATATTTAGTTACAAGGTCGGAAATAAAGCCAAGTTTCAGATGCTTTTGTGATAAATTATGTGAGAACGTGTGTGGTTTGCACACAAAATAACATCGTTTACATTTTGCATGCAGACATATGCAACAAGTATTTGTGTGGAAGTAGCATTCCTCTGTAGTCAGTTTACTTAGTGTTGATTATACTGTGTCTCTCTCTCGTCACATTGGAATGCGGAACTACTGTTTACTACGGATACAATGTTTATTACAACTTCAGTTACCCTCATTTCTCCGTCTGACGCATTAGCAATGCTAATTAACACTACATTTCTCCGTCTGACGCATTAGCAATGCTAATTAACACTACATTTCAGTAAAAGGTAACATATCACTAGTTCAAGAGTTTGTCACGTTTTACATGTATTTAAGTCCTACAACAGTTCCTGTCAGTGCGCAGCAACCTTGACGTTGCCGTATTTGTATTCATACACTTCCAGGCTATATGTAAATGGCCTTCAATATTAAAACTGCCGGGAAAACACCATTATTTGTAATTAAAGCCTTCTGAAGAGTAGACGATAATAAAGAAATTAACACACTCGCATAGATGTCATATTGTATTTACAACACTCATGCCAGAAAAATGATATTTCCCTCACATTCTTCTTAAGACAATCATAACTTCAGTTTGTTCAAGCGATTAAAATGAAATTTTAATGTGACCACTGACAACTACTCATGTTAAGTCACTATCTTTGTTGACATTTCAAACTCAGTTATGACAATTTTCCGTTGATACACAGACTTCCGCCAATTTTATTTCAAACTGATCAATTCTGTGAAAGGTCTGAACCCCCCATTCGATGTCACAATATTTAGTTTTCAGCGGAAAATAGATTTTCCTGTTGCCATCCCTGCAAACTGTTGAAAACATTTGCCCATTAGCTTCTTTACCATGGCACTGTTTTGGATAGTGTGGAGGGGTACATTAATGCACCTCAAATGTACCTGCGTCATCTGTAGAATTGTTATAGTTCAACTGAAAGTGTACTGTTGTTATGATACTGATTGTCTCCTTTGCCATGTTTCAGCGTCCACCTCCAGCAGTGATGCCCAGTATCCACCGGACATCAAGAGTGGGTTTGAAGAGCTATGCCCGGTGTGCGGTGACAAGGTGTCAGGCTACCACTATGGCCTGCTTACCTGTGAGAGTTGTAAAGGTAAGTTGCTTTAATGGGACTCCTCTAAACAGTAACATTAACTGTATGAAGAAGGAACTAACCCAGATCAACTGGGTCTTCTTCAAACAATAGCCTTTACTACATAGAAAAAACAAGAAACCACTCCAGAATAATGGGTTTCACAGTGTTCTTGCAAGAGTATGGCATTGTAGTACTGCAACAGTTGTTTGAAACATTCAGAAGAAATATCACATGCTTTCTGATTCAAAAGAAATCTCACATCTCTAACACGGGCATATAATGTCCAAAGATGATATCCAGGTATGTATTGTCACTGACGGCATCTTATGAAAGGAAAGGGGTGTGACAAGGTCAACACACCAAGTTCGTTTCAGGACGAATTCAACATTTCTCACAGTATACATCCGAAGAAACTATATACGCAGTTCAGGCCAATAGATTTACCTACAAATATGAGATAATGTTCACAAAAATAAAAAGCTGCTCTTCGGGAAGCCAAATTCTGGTCTAAAATCCCTGTTTTTGATTTGTACTACTAACGTACCAAATTGTAAGCGTACACGATGAAGTAACAAGACATTCATGTTGCAAGACAGCGTTGCATGTATGCAATGGACAAGCTCCAACGATGATGTGTTTATACTAGAGACTTACAGTGTTTCTTTGTCTTACATTCAGAAGTCTACACAGAGAACTGTTCTTACCTTGCACTGTCATGGAGATATGATGCCCACTGGGGACAACTGTTACACACTAACTGTAGTTAAACTTCCATATTGTCCATGAATTTGTCATTTATCTTGGTATATGCCTTCTCTGAGATCGGGCCCTACTTTAAAATGGTTTTCCCCAAGCACAGTACAGTAGAAGTGTAAACATGATTTAGTTCCGAGTAGTAAATGTTCCGGTTCGGAATAAATGCCATGAAATAGAGAATGGATGACATGAATAAAAATTCCGCACATACGGCAAATATTCCATCGAACAGGAACAAATACCGTAGGCCTAACCTATTCCAGTCATTATTGAATGCAAAATGGACTCATCCAACTTGTCAACATCCGTGATTTCTGTAGCCCGAAATACATGTGAATCATGTTAGATCTAGGTGAAAATCAAATTAACAAGCGGCCATTTGCCACACACTGCAGGAAGGTGCAACAGACCGATTATGGAGGCAGAGGAATACACTGCTCCAGTAGAGTATATTTGTGAAAACAAATGCAAGGAAAATGCCACAGAAAACAAAAAAAAAGGGAAGCTTGTGATAAATAGTGACCAGAAATTAGCAACCATCAGAATGTGCTAGGGGTGGGTATTGCAGGGAATTTTCATATTGCAATATATTGCGATACGAAAGCATGTATTGCGATATGTATTGCAATATATTGCAAGAAATTATTTTTTAACAAAAAACTACTTATAGTCGAGTTAATGCTTGATTTATAAAGCAAAAACACAACAAAATCACAATGCTTGATTAGGCTTTACTAGAAACTTTTAATCATGACAAAATAAAATTGTAAATAATGTTTGGCACAAATGAAACAAGGAAAGGAACAATTTAAAAACGGAAATATCCGAATATTTCCGAGTGTTACAAAGTTTTCCGATTGCATGTCAAAATACTGGTTTTCGATCAGCGTATCGCAATACGTATCGTCTTCATGTCTGAACCGGTAAATACCGGTAAACCGGTTATATTGCACAGCCCTAGAATGTGCCATATTGATCACTGTAAGTTTACCAAAACTGTAGATCAAATTAAAATACAACGATATTTGAACAATTCTTCAGTATTGTCCGGATTTCGAACAGGACCCTATCACCAGACATGTAGATATTATACATACATCATTGAAATAATAATTTGAAATAGATGCACAGATTTTTAAGGAAAGGTGAACCATATCTAATGCCAGTGTAGGCTGCCCTATTACACAACCACCGATTTATATGATGTGAAACAAATTTAAGGTTTAGCTTGCGATTAGGTTGGGCCTAAATGCCACTAAGTGAATGCATATTATCAAATATTGTGATGGTGTTTATTTGGATTTTTTAAAATAGACATTATTTAGTGCTATTTTGTATAGCTATAACAAAAGATGAAACCAATGCCTACAATAAAGACAATTGATGCCACTGATGACAATACTGTATTGAGTCCTCTTTTAAAGGTCACATGCAACGTAAAACACAACTTTGCAGATTCTGATACCTTTCGGTATGGACGTACCGAAACAAAGCATCAAAAATGCAAATTCAACTTATAAAGTTAAAAAATAACGCGATGAAAAAAAACGCGCGAAATCTGAGTTCAAACGTTTCACTAATTTTCCCCAGACTTTTCTGGGGAATATGGGTTTCAACAGCTGGGCTGCGCTCATAGCGAGTGCGCAGTGAAATAGGTTCGCGCAACTTAGAAGCGGGCTGTCTGGTGAATACTCGGTGAAGGCTTTGGTGTGAGCTATTTTCATAATGTTTTGTTGATATCTCACGAAGCGAAGCTTTTATATGTTATGACAGTAAATAAACTGTTTATATAATTTCATTTGTCTATTTCACCACACGTTCTTCTTACCGAGTCACTTTCTCAGTTCGATACTTAAAAGCAATGTCATTATTTAGCGTTGACACAATTTCTAACTGTGATATAGATATGACGCTGCCACAGAGAAAACTCAATGTCTTGTTTTATTGACCCCTGTGTGTCTGCCTGCCTGTCTGCTAATGACAATATTCAATACACAACTGCGATCACTGACCACATGCAATTTGAACTTAACACTAATCAGGCTATACACCATAAACAAAACGCATTGATTTATGGCCCGAGTTCGGTCTCTGTCACATTATGTAATTACACAGACAGGCAGGTGTGGTACTTGAACACATGACATGTTATGATGTCTGTTGATTGCAAAATGTTATACACAAAAAATGAGCATGTATTTACAAAACCCAACATCTCTAAATATATACACACACAATGAAACCGTGAAGGCGGCATCTGCTAATGAACCAGCCGTTACACTTGAGTGCACACCCACCCGCTCTGACTGGGTTCGGTATCCCGGCTGCTTCGTTTCGAGGGAGGTAAACCCAAGTACAAAATATTGCACTTTTGATTTGCGATTATACGCTTATAATTTTGTTTATTTGTTTTTTCATAACCAGCAATGCATATTATATGTCATGAAGAAGTGATAATTGTGTTTTAATTATGTTTGATTTTTTGGTTGCATGTGACCTTTAAGGAACTTTCACCCATGATAATTGCTTCTTGATAGCCTCAGGATTTGTTCCATAAGGAACAAATACCATAGGAAAAATCCTTTCTTCCTTTCGTTCTCCCCCAAAAAACATGCCGCAATTTTTAAGACCACCCCTACAAACAATACCCTCTTTTAGACACTTTAGGATGTGTGTGAAAGTTCCTATTTACCCAGAATATATTCTGTGTATGCGGAACGAAATAATTGTTCCACATGCACTATTACAGGAACAAATATTGGAATGAAAAGTTCCAACGGAACTTTTTCTATGGGGGAACAAAATCTTTTTTACACAAGGTCCATGTTCAGAATTTTGTCTGAGATTAGAGAAAGTCATGTGGTATGATGTCTTGGCATGTTATTCCAGCATCAACCCCTTCTTCTCACACTGCACCAAGCTGAAACTGAACATGCTACTCCAACCGGTTTATGAGAGTATGGTCATATATCATTGAAAGATTCCTAGGCTCAATTACCTCTACAGACATGAGATGTAATCCCTCTATGCGGAACCTCAAGTCATGTCAACGGGAGATGTAATCCCTCCATGTGGAACCTCAAGTCATGTCAACGGGAGATGTAATCCCTCTATGTGGAACCTCAAGTCATGTCAACGGGAGATGTAATCCCTCTATGTGGAACCTCAAGTCATGTCAACGGGAGATGTAATCCCTCTATGTGGAACCTCAAGTCATGTCAACAGGAGATGTACTCCCTCTATGTGGAACCTCAAGTCATGTCAACGGGAGATGTAATCCCTCTATGTGGAACCTCAAGTCATGTCAACTGGAGATGTAATCCCTCTATGTGGAACCTCAAGTCATGTCAACGGGAGATGTAATCCCTCTATGTGGAACCTCAAGTCATGTCAACGGGAGATGTAATCCCTCTATGTGGAACCTCAAGTCATGTCAACGGGAGATGTAATCCCTCTATGTGGAACCTCAAGTCATGTCAACGGGAGATGTAATCCCTCTATGTAGAACCTCAAGTCATGTCAACGGGAGATGTAATCCCTCTATATGGAACCTCAAGTCATGTCAACGGGAGATGTAATCCCTCTATATGGAACCTCAGTGTAAAATATGTCAACTGAAAATGTAATCTCCCCTTATTCTGTGTCCTTGACATCTCTGATGGTTTCTCACTGTCTGGGCTGGAATCCTATGCAGTCCTGGGATTGCTGTAGCTGAAGAGGTGACCATGGTGATCCTTTTACGTAAGGTTGACTGAATCTGGGTAGGTCATGTTTTGACCCCTGTGTCTGATTATGGTTCCATAGTTTTGTAATGGTGCTTTAGTTAGTGACTTGCATACACTGACGTACCAGATAAAAACAAATGCATAACGGAAAGTAGCTAACTGTCAAATGTTACGAGTGGACCGGGTAGATGATTGATTGAATTTCACTATGTAAGTGTACACTTTATGAACTACAACCAAAAACAATCGCTCAAATGCAGCTAGTTATTTTGTAGCACTCATTATGATAAGGTAGTTCTTCTAAGAATATCATGAAATGATTACAACATTAATTATCTACAAATATGTAAAATACAAACATGCATACAATGTTACACTGCCATACACTCCCTCCACTGCGAAATTATGTCCTCATCATTTGTCTTACCCATCACAATATCCAAGATTGCGTCAGATACTCGATGGGACTGCTCAGGAAAACATGCTGTGTCGAAGATACTAGTGTGTATAGCTTGCCCATTGATTTGCCTTGACAAAACCTCCTATTTTACAGTTAGAATAAAGTCCTGTCTTTAAACGAGAAGTGCATATAACATTCTTGTAAACACACAATATGGCTTCCAAACAGGAAACAGAACACCCCTAATGCAATATGGTAGGACGTTATGTTAGAACTTGGGTTGGACATGCATAGGGTAAGACTGCAGCCAGTGAACAACCAAGTCTCAACCAGGCGTCGTTTGATATGCTCAATAGGGGGCAAGAGGGTCGAAGGTTCTGCTGGAGAGCGAGGTCGGATTTGGAGTTATCTCCCTAGCGGGGGAGGAAATGGGCTTTGTATCTATTATCATATCTTCTTCTGTATTCCATATTTTGCGTAGTCGACAAATTATATTGCGCAGACGTCACCAACCATCCATGACTTCTTTGATCGTCTGGGGGAGATCGAGGCTCGTGCAGTGCAAACCACGGAGATGTTGTTGGCTCGTGCAGAACAAACGGCGACGATGTTGTCGGCTTGTGTGGAGCAAACCATGACTAGGCTGGACGACGACGACGACGACGACAACGACGACAAACTCCATGAGGAAATAGAGAGCGTAGAGGAGGAACAAGAAGAGACCCGTCTGGATATCCAGAAGGTGGGGCAGATGCTAGAATCAGTCCAAAAGTGGTCCTACATTTTGCTAGCTGCCATGTTTGTCTGGAAGGTCGTCCACAGGACCTGGAAGCACTGCACACCGACAACACGCCGGTCGACGCACAGGCCGAGGAGAAGACCGAAGTACCCAACGCAATTTGTACGGGCAAACCTGGACACCCCTTCTACATGGACAAGTGTCTTTTCGTATATATGTTTGCGTATTTTGTTGTTTTTTAGACAAGATAGAAGCTGGGAACAGCAACTCGACTTCTCGATCGTCTTTCTTTTCCGAAATGGGCGAGTAGCAGATTTGGCCAAGCCTACACAGAAATGGTCCATTCACCATTGTCTCGAATCGTTCCTCGTATCTTGTAGCCATAGACTGGAATCGTTTCTCCAATCGGCATAGAGAGCAGCAACATTCTGTTTTCCCGTTTGTACTTCGCTACGTCAAACTTTTTGCACGTATAGATTCCCTCCGGAACTTTTTGGTGTTTGTTGCATGGTGGTGCTGCCACTTCCATATCCTTAGGTCCATCGTAGTTGGGCAAGGCGCAAATAGTCTGGATCCTCTCTGTGGGCTCCGTTTCTCCGGCGAGTTGTTGGAAGAAACAAGACTCTTTTTCACAATTACAGTTCTCTACCAAACGGTCGAGGAGGAGTTTGTAGCGCATGCATCAGCGGAGGCAGTCATCTTTGTAGAGGTTCTCTATGTTCTCGAAACAGTCGGAGATTGTGATTTGGTTCGGCACCTTGAGAGAAAGCATTTCTTGCTGTGAATGCAGTGGTCTGTGGCGCCACACTTGCAAATTGAGTTGTTGTGCACTTGTGGTAGAGCGGTGAGGCTGTCGGTCTGTCCTTGGTTTCCGGGCAGTTGGCAGGAACAAGTCAGAGTGGGCCCGCTCCAGGCTGAAATTGGTTGGGTCGGTAGAGGTAGACCACATCGACTATTTTGCCGCCTTCTACGAATCGTCGAAAGCACAGCAAATAGAGTTTGCAACACAGTTGAGGGATCTAGTACCGCTTCTCTAGCAGGGTCTTGAAGCGCTCTGCCATGTTTGAAGTTGCCTCTGTGCGTGTCTCTCTGTTTGTGTCTCGGGGGTCTGTTTTGGAGTTGCCCCAGATTTGCATATATCTGGCTTGCGATATGTGGTACTTCTTTTTCGCCTCCCGAAGGGACAAACAACCTGATCGGATCTCAGCATAGCTTGGTTCCTGGAATTGTTGTGTTCTATATACAAACACCTGCATATCTCTAATTGGAGTGCACTTCCACCGGTGGCCTGTGTTGGACTACTTTTTGTATTCCTGGACTACTTTTGTGTGTATACTACTTTTGGAGTTGCACTGTAGTGGGTTGTGGAAACCAAATTGGAGGCTTCTAGAGGAGGTGCACCTCCACAGGGACTACTCTTGTGTGTGGGGGGGACTACTTTTTGTCTTCTGTTGCCGTATGCTGTATTTTATTGTATTTTTTTATGTACGGAAAAATGTAGGATATTTGTTTGCATATATTTTGGTTCTATAGTCGCCAAGGACTCTTGTACTGCAATGGCGGTTCTGGAAATTCCGAGAACCTTCCCTTCCAGTCGTACAGGATACTTTGGCATTCTTGCAAATGCACTCTTTGTAGGTAGCCAAACACGTATATATCTTCTACATTTGTAGGTAGGCCTTCCAAAGGTTGTAGATTTGTTCTACCGAGATTGCCAGCAAGACATTGGCGGTAACTGGCACAAGATTGCTTTCCACAGTATTTTCCAGGAGTAGACAGACTTTTCGATACTTCTATGTGTGGAGGAGAAAAATGACATCGGAAAGTGGTTCAAAGTACATAGAAACATGGATGAAAGTATACCACAAGCTTTTTCCACATTGATTTAACATAGGCTGCACCTCCACAGGGTTTTCTCCCCACTCCCTATACTACTCTGCTTAAGAATACTCTCCAAGTATTCGTGAATGCAACAAATATTTTGAATTATCATCATGTGATTACTGTTAGAATTATTCTTGCATCATAATATGTCACTTTTATTGTGTATATATGTGTAACCAGCATTCGTTTTCTGCATGTAATTATTGTGTATATATGTTTGTGAATTGTGTATACATTCATTTTGAGAGCGTTTGGATGCATAAGAATGTCCCCCGGGATAATAAAGTTATATCTCATCTTAATATCAGACGTTAACGGACACTCATGCTTAGCACATGGCAGACATACAGTCTGTCATTGTAATCCAATAATTAGAGTTATCTCCCCTTATCAAGTCCTGGAGTCCAGCTGAACCCGACTCGTGCTTGAATACTCAAGTACCCGTGGAAGCCCTATGACATTTAGTTTTACTATCATTCAGTTTTAGAGAGAATCCCAACCTAACAAAACCTATTTTTGATTTTGCTGTTAGTGAAACCACAACATGTATTTTGGGGCTTCGGTATGTAGATAATAGGACCTGCATGTACCACCAGTGTCACACATTGTCAAACAATTCAACCCCCATTATAAATATTGCAGAACAAATTGCTGATTGGTGGGAACTGTATATTGCTTGTATCACAATATACAGCAGTAATGCTCAACTTACAGGTTATGTGCGTTTCAACCACGCTGACAGATAGTTAAGCCATTTTTTATTAAACTGTAATGATTTTGGATTATGTGTAGATAGCAGTTGGCCTCCACATGTTCTATTTTCAACAGGGGCCCTGGGATAGCCTAGTGGTTGAAGCATTCGCTCATCACTTCGAAGACCCAGGTTCAATTCCCCACATGGGTACAATGTGTGAAGCCCATTCCTGGTGTCCCCCAGCTGTGATATTGCTGGAATATTGCTAAAAGAGGCGTAAGGCTAAACTCACTATTTAAACTTTTATTAATTTTTGCCATTGACTTGACTTTAGCTCCTTGACCATATTGAAATATTGCTCGGTCTAGATATACCTGCTGAGTTGAGCAGGAGAGATATGTCTAGATATACCTGCTGACACAGGTCAACGCGATACGACACTCGTGTTACGTACGAGATTAGTATGCAACTACCCATACGTTGACCACGTGGGTAATAGATCTAGACCTATCTCTCCTGCTCAACTCAGCAGATATATCTAGACCTTTCTCTCCTGCTCAACTCAGCAGGTAAATCTAGACCTATCTCTCCTGCTCAACTCAGCAGATATATCTAGACCTTTCTCTCCTGCTCAACTCAGCAGGTATATCTAGACCTTTCTCTTCTGCTTAACTCAGCAGATATATCAAACAACTCATCCACTCGACCCAGCAGGTATATCTAGACCTAACTCATCTGCTCAACTCAGCAGGTATATCAAAACCCATCTTTCCTAAATTCAGGGATATGTGTGTTGCATCTAAGTTTAAAATATTGTATATATAAGGTGATAGTTTTGTACCTGGAACTAGAGGGGTTTGAAAGGGGTCGCCTTATGCACAGGGTAGAGGATCTCACATTTTTTCCAACTGGCAAGGTTAACAGGTGTCCAATAGCCACTGATGTTTGTTTGACAGTAAATCTTTCCATTTCATTCAAAATAACTGTTCAAAGACCTATTTTAGTATTCTGCAAAAAATGATTGAATGAGCCTCGCTTCAGTTATGAATGCCAAGCCAGCTGACACGACAACCACCATCGAAGAGTAGCATAAGCGGGATCATCTCACATTTTCCGACACACTTTACCACAACAATTGATTTTATGTGTATGTTTAATTTAAATCATCACTGCATTTCAATGAATACATACCTACCTATTTCTAATGTTGTATTGAAATTAACCATGAAGTAGCTAAAACTGTAACCAATAATGAAATTACATTTTCATAACTTGAGATGACCACGATCAGCTGCCCTTGTTACCTAACATGGGATATCTCCCCAATGAATCTGAAATCATTTCCCTCAGTTTTTTTATTGATAAGCCAGCGTTGGAAAAGGCTTGTATTGAAGACTGTTGAATAAACAGAATCAAAACTAAGCCCAGTAAATAGACAAATACGTAACTGGTGATTAAATAACGGGATATAGGCTGTCTTCATCTATAACTTACTTCACAATTTTTTACTGTCATCAAGTTGGTGTTGCATTGTGTCGACATACAAAATGGCGCCATGTGTTGGAATTCTACGTGGCTAACCATTGTGCACAAATAACTGATACACATGTATACAGATTTAGGGACTGTGTATGCTCTGATGCTGTGTGTCATTCAGGGTCTCATTATAGTCAGGGTTTATAAATTAAGGACCGTTCATAATTTATGGCTGGGTGGTGGGGGGGGGGATGATGATGATTATGGAGAAGCATGTACAATGTGAATGACCCCCCTAAAGTTTATGTTCAAAGTAAAGCCCAATTCACACTAGAGCATAATTAAGGCATCGTGCAGGCATCGTGCTGTGATTGTGTAGTGATCCAATAGTGATTGTGTTGATCGTGTTCTTAGCCCAGCACGATTATTCAAATTTAAAACCTGTTTTAAATTTGTTTAAATCGTGATGAGGTCGTGTCGATCGTGTAGTCATTGTATAGGCATCGTGTAGTGTTCATGTAGTGATTGTGTTGATCGGGTTTCATCAACTGGACACGATTCCCCCACGAACACAACACGATCAAGAACTGTCTCGTGTTGCAATCATACTGCTATAGTGCTCCTGTTAATTTTAATATGAGATGACTATTCGATCAGTACAGGAAGTCAACACGAATATGCATGATGACTACACGATCGAGGTATGATCAAAACACAATAGGCGGACCGAGCTTACACCAATCAGAGCACTTATCGCCCAAAGGTTTCCCACATTCACGCTCATGTGGTGAAGGCTATGCTAATAGAGACAAAAAGAAAGACTTGTGGGACGACTGTCACACTGAACATTTTGACGATGTATTTGGTAGTGCTCTAAATAGGTACAGCAACAAGCAGACTATCTTTTGGAAGCTACTGGAGAAAGAGAGGTATAAAAAGAGCGGTGGCAGTGTGAAGATTATTATGAACAGCAAAAACATCCGGAAGAGTTATTTTCTCAGTCGGCTCATGGACCCAATAGAGTACAGGAGTGGTGTGAATGTGCGCAAGACACGTGACGCCTGGTATAATGTGGCTTCTTCTACCAGTGGAAATAATGGGGATGTGCAGGAAGAAGAACTGACTGAAGATGATGGTCAGGAACAGGAAGATAGGAGTGCCAAGAAGTTGACCCTGGCGAAGAAGAAGCAGATGATTTCACAAATCCGGAATGGCCCTGCAGATGACTGCCAGCAGCACTGAGACTATCTGGCATCAATGATGCAGAACATGGTCCCTGAGTTACACAAAGATTTTATAATTGACTCGCTGCAGCTGGCCATGGACTACCACAGACCACAAAACGGTACAAGACCAGTAAGTGCTCCAGAGAGATTCTCCCCCAGAACAAAGACTCTTCAAAGACCACATAGTCCACCCATTATTTCATGGAGACCCAGACATTTTCGGGAACCTGATGCACACTCGTTTCCCATCCAGAGCTCCGCAGGCATGGGGCATGTTCCCTTTGTCCAGGAAGCCGTCAACAATTACTTTCCACTGTTCCGGAGTAATGCATGTAGGTATAACTTCCAATGAGTATACTTTTATGATGGTCTCGCAGACTTGTGGCACAAAGAGTCTTGGCGACTCTGAAGGAGTATTGCAGGACTGAGTAGCTGTTCCCTGTAGCGAGGTAGTGAAGAGTAACAGCAATCTTCAAGCCTGGGTCGAGTGCTTTCCTGAAAGGAGTGTCTTTCTTTTGATGTAGGGGTCGACTCGAGTGGCCAACTCTTGGAAGTGAGCACTGTCCACCCTGAGGAAGTTCTTATAGCTGACCCTGTCTTCATTGTTCAGTCCCGCTAGCAGAATCTCGTACTGCCCATACAGAGGTCTCTGTAGCAACCAATTCGTGTCCACACTTTCTTACTCCTCTCTTTCATCTCTGTTTTTGGTGGCCCTCAGGGTTTTACACAGACGTTTAAAAATGGGAGTCATGGTGACTCACAATATCTATTTTTGGGAGTCATTTTCAATATTTGGGAGTCGTGAAAATTTTAATATTTCTTTGTGTTAATCATTCTCAGTATGTAACTGTGTATGTCACACCACCAAATGAAACTCTAGCATTGTTCAATTCAAACAGCCAGGATTACTGTCTCCTCTGGAACAATCTGACAGCTCTGTAAAAAGTCAAACTATACTGAAAATCATTGAAAACTCACCACCTGTAAATTTTGAAATATGGTAATAGGATTGTTTTGAGAGTGAAAATGAACGTTGGAAATGTTAATAACACAAAAGACAATAAATAATGCTGTAGAGTAAAGAACGGATTGCCCGAACACATCATGGAACACATCACATGACAACAACAAAATTCATGCACAACACACACGAAAAGCACAAATTGCATGCGTAAAACATGCTGATTAGGGGTATAAATGACTGTCGGCAAAAAAACGTTCTCATTTTAGCTGTACCTCCGCAAGTAAAGTTTATTTTGCAATGCCAAGATTGTCACCAGAGGAACGAGAACGGGCGTTGGGCATGTTGCAGGTTGGCACATCAAGCAGGATTATTACGAGACGATTTGGTTGCCATCATTCCACCATCATAAGACTTGCCAACAGGTACCAACAAACAGGAACCACCAGGGACCGCCAACGTCCTGGCCAGGCACGTGTTACCACCCCTTGCCAAGATCGAGACATTATTCGGCGCCATATTCGGGATCGTACATTGCCGGCTGCCAGAACCGCCAACACTGTCCATGGCTGACATGGTTTCATCAGTGCTTCCACCGTCCGACGCCGTCTCCGTGCGGCAGGATTACGGTGTTGACGCCCTTATGTTGGACCCATCCTGGCTGATAGACATCGCTGTGAACGACGATGATGGGCTGAACAATGTTTGTGGTTGTTACGAAGTTGGCATGGTGTTGTGTTCTCCGAAGAGTCACGCTTTCACTTGCGAAATGCTGACGGGCGTCTACGGGTATGGCGTCAATGGGGAGAACGTTACCATCAGGACTGTGTTGTGCAAACAGATCGGTTGGGTGGAGACAGCGTTATGGTGTGTGGGGGGAATCAGTTATCATCACAAAACTGCTCTCGTAGTTTGTCGTGGCAGAGTGAATGCCCTTTACTACCTTGACACCATTCTTCAGAACAACGTCGTTCCCTTCTTTAACCAACATCAAGATCTGCACACATTCCAGCAGGACAGTGCTCGAGTGCACACTGCACATGTTGCAACACAGTTTCTGGCAAACAACAACATTCCTTTACTGCCATGGCCTGCATTGTCACCAGATTTGTCTCCCATTGAACACTTGTGGGATTACATCGGCCAATGCCTCTCACGTCGCCCACAGATCAACAACCTTGGGGAACTTGAGAATGCCTTGCAACAAGAGTGGAATGCATTGCCTCAAAACATTATTCAGAAACTTATCAGTTCAATGAGGAGACGTTGCACAGCTTGTGTTGCTGCTAACGGTGGTCATACACGTTACTGACTTTCCAATTTGACTCCATCTTTCTTTCATGGTCAGCTGAATTAAAACTTCACTGTTTTGATGGATTGGTTCGTGTTTCTTTTCTTTACCAATCATTGGACTACAAAAGTATGTAAAATTTACAACGATTGCTCATTTATGCTCTTGGAAATCCAAACTAGTACAGGTGGTGCGTTTTCAATGATGTTCAGTATATCATCGAACAATATCATTTTTTGCTTATCAAATCAATTTTATTTAACTGAATTGTGAGGGCCACCCATAAAACTTGCGTCAAGCTTGACTCGAATGATAATATTTTGAGAGTCGTTTACAAAATTGTTGCGTCAAATACGCAGGAATCACCCGTCATGGCCCTTCCTCCAACATCATCCTCCTCTCCCTCATCTTCTCCAACTCCAGCATCTCCATATCAACTAGTTCCAGCTCCAATCTTCTTCTCCTCCTTGATGCCCTTTCCCTCATTTCCACTGCATTATACACCCATAGCATGGACGTGAAGGGGAGTCTTTTTTGGAGGGAAGAGTTCTGATTGTTCACAAATTTGTGTAAAATCATGTCATGTTTGTGTTGTTTGTGTTCTGATCGTGTTCATGTTGCGTTCATTTTGTGTTCATTTTGTACAGGGATTGTGCATGCTTCGTGCACCACTGGTACAGGAATCATGTTGATTGTGACATTGTCACAATCTGGGCACGATTCCAGTACGATCCATTCGTGTGGCCATCATAGTACAATTGTGCTCTAGTGTGAATTGGGCTTAAGTCATTCCCCCCTGCATCACCCCCTAGTACATGTGCACAAATTTGATTTATTAAAAAGCAGATACCTGTGATCACTAACATATGATTTTTTAAATTGAATATACAGAGTTAATATCTGATATTAATATTCCAAAAAATACACTAAATTTCACTGTGAATGGCAAGATTATGAAGTACCTAAATTCCAGAGGCCATTTTCAGTAGTTACGCTCATCCTGAAGTGACAAAGAGTGGAGAATTTCCTGCATAAGTCAGAACTTTGAAGTATAGATGTGTTTGTATGTTGAAGTGTTTTTACTTCAGTGAGGGGTGAAAAGGAGCAACATGTGTGTCCCCTCAGCATCCTGGGGCTTTAAACAGTAGGGCTTGACACACAAGATCCACACACCTGTATCTACACATCAGGAAATGTCTCTTATGTCTCATGACATTATGTTTTTATCAACTGGCACCAGTGACATCATATTGCCACCGACATAAACCATGGTGTGTTAATATGGATATTGAACTATCAGTTAATGTGAAAATATTCATTGATTTAATGTGAAACATACAAAAGTTACTTGTGATGTCTGTTTTGTATTGGCTATGAAACTGTGTTTAAATATTTATTATGTTAAAGCATGAAAGAAAAATAGGTCAAATTTTGTGTGAACTTGCCCTTTAAACCATGTAATGCTATATTTGACCAGGGGTCAATTTCCTGGCAAATGAGGTCAAACACTGTTCTGTGCCCTCTTAGACTTGGATATATCTCCATTCAAGTTCTGTCCACCATAATAGGTTTGTAAAATACTCACCTGCAAGCTAATAATTTATGTGTCTTTGTCATTTTGTTAAATGTTATCTGCTTGTGTCAGACAGAAAAGGCCTTAATCAAGTGCTCCAACTTCTGTATCAACCATGTAGATGCAACATCATTTGGGCCTTGCCCATTGGAAAAAATGTACCCTAGGAGCAGACCTAGTGTATTTAACCTTGGCTTGGTATCCTGAGTTGGATGGGTACCGTGTATGACACAGGTACCTACAGGACTGCCGAAACCATGGTTCGTCACATGATATATTGTTAAATGACAAAAATCATGTGTAACATACTTACACTACAGGCAATAATGGTCGCCTTTCTTTCTGACTAAACACGCATTCCTTTTGACTTATATATGTTTCACTAAAGAAAAATCTTCAGTTAACTTCAGTAAATGTAAGACCACAGGTCGCTTTGTTTTTGTATCAGATTGACATTTTGACATGGTGAAGATGACATGTCATCCCATTCCAACCAAATGCTCCCACGTGTTACTCCACTTGTGATGCCAGAAATACCAGTGGTCATGCTGTATCTTAAAGGGGCACTGATCAAGATGGATTCGTGTTTAGTGGCAACAATCATAATTACGTCGTCTAGCTGCCATGATGGACATGCAGACTCGGTAACTGTCCATGTTGGCAGACACGTGGTGGATGCCCCTCAGATGCCGTTATTTAGAAATTTTCCCAGTAATTCTAGTCAGATTGTAATAAAGTATTCCAGCAGTGTAAGCTTTTTCAGATTTTCTGATGTGTGGGTGGTATGATGACTGATCCAACATGTTCCTATTTCTGTTTTTTTTTACTCGATACTTAGTCATGTCATGTAAAAATATGATGTCTATTTCCTGCTGATAAGAAACATATAATTGTGAGGCATGTTGATGATAAATTGGTTGGTTTTTTTCACTTTGTCCGACACAATAACGTTTACAGACATCGCCTCAAGACTGGCCTCATCAACTGGTGTGTGGAAATGGGCGTGACAAACTTCAGTATATAATATGATATATGAACCCTGCAGTTGCTAATATTTTATCACAATAAGAAAAGCATGAGTGTTACTTTGAAACACAATATATAGTATCAATTATAGTTTCACATGAAATTAGAGATGCCTTAATAAATTGTGCTTTCTTATTACGTGTATGCCAAAATTATATGTCTCACTTCTGAATAGTTTGAATTAGAAAATAAAGCTACTCTATTTTCAATTTTGTGGTCCTTTATTGTTGACTTAAGCCCGCTAAATGTAATTTTAAAAAAACGAACAGGTTAGCTTTAGGATGTGTGGGCCGACGCGTGTTGTCAACGTCATGCCCGCTAGATCTAGACCCGGTTTGAAGTATGGCGGAATACTGCTGCTTTTGCGTTGCTGACAAATTTTCTGGTTTCGAAGGTTAGTTCAATGGGATTAGCCTCAAGAAATTATTCTTCAAACCATTCGCTTTTTCCTTCAAAAACATCAAAGATGTTGCTGACGGAGAAATTGCCAATGTCCAACATGTTCGTTTACAAACAAAAGGGTCAACGAGTTCATTGTATTCATACGCGGTCAGTCGGTCACTTTGATTAGCGATTATAAATTACATACATGAATTTATGTAATAAATTAAAATCGTTGGTTAATATTGATGATATTTGTCAATGCTTAATATTTCTCAGTTGTTAACGTGAGCTTTTGACATTTTCAGATATTTTCATATGTTACGTGTTATTGAAGAGATACAGTTTGCTCTACTCCCATGTATAATGTAATACAGTACACTTTACCCTGAACTATTATAGTTAAAGGACGAGGTTGCTTGCGTCTGAGTGTTTTAATGTTATAATAGGTCAGGGTAAAAGTCATCCTCAGTAAGTTCCAGGGTATACGATCACTCTCCACTATACCCTGGATGCATCCACGGTTTGGCCCAATGATTTTATTACCTCCCTACGCTGGCTTTTTATCCAATCAGGTGTCTACACTGGGAAGTTGAACGAACCAATCACAACTCACATTCGCTTCTTAAATTATCTAACTGTTTAAACTTGGCAACACAATAGATGCAGAGGTACTCTGAAAGAGGTAGAAGGAGTTCTTTTATATATATTTTTAAAGTTTCACATCTGTCAATTTGTCTGTATTATTTCCTCATAAATCTGAGTGGCACTGCGAACAAACCTTCGTGACTGCGACCGCTATCTTTGTTGACACTGGCAAGCTCGGATGTAACGGCGACTTAGCTGATTGGCTATTGTAAAAATGTGGAGCCAGCAAAGTGAGGTAATATAAGTATCGAGCCAAGCCGTGGATGCATCCAGGGTATAGTGGAGAGTGATCGTAACGACAATATACCCTGGAGATTATAGAGGATGGGTAAAAGTGTACTATATTACACTATACATGGGGGGTAGATAGAACTGTATTTCTTTTCTATGATGCCAAATTTAATGCTTTATAAAAGTTAATTATGATTAATCTAAGGCAGAAAACAAACAGAAAAGAGACGGTGTCGGTGACCTTGATTAACTATTCTCATTCAGGGCTAACTGACGCACTGTTCTATTGATATATCTGAACGCCTATGTTAGACGCAAGTTGCCAGAAAAACAACTGATAAATAGTTTGAGGACGGTTTATGTTTGGGTTAAATATCTTTTCTAACTTATTTCAGTTACATGTGTGATTAAGTAAACCATATGGGGCAATATGAATGTTGCATTTCTACTATCAATGTAAGTTTAGATCAGTACATTCAGATGAAGCTGACTAGTCACCCGACATTCCACGGATTCATTATGGGAATGTAAACATTGCGAATGTTGCCGTGTCACTGTTTAATTGTGAGTCGAACAGAGACATTTTAACCATCAAAAAAACATGAACGTAATGTTTCCGCCTGTGATGTTGGCCGAGTCAAGCAACTGCAAACCTAGAAACGGGGTGCTACGGAGTAGTTTACAGTAGGAGACGATGACAACTGACATGCATCGTGACTTCCGCTACGAAGGGTACGTTTCATAGCAAGGGGGCAGATGAGAATGGCGTAGTGATGTCAATACAGTGTGACGTCTTGTAAAAAGTGTACTTTATCACCTTTAATCTTTAAGCTTAGCATCTTAGAATACTATGTACTATTAGTCTTGTTTTCCCCCCAAATGGTAATGAGTAAAGACTCTTAAAGATCTATCAATGCATTAGATGTATGCTTCTATTATCTTGACTCTGGTGTCCTCCGCCATGATATTGCTGGAATATTGCTAAAAGCTGTGTAAACCAAACTCACTCACTCACTCCTATTTTATCTACAGTATGTAAAATTGCCTCTGCCATCATAAAACAAGAAATTCAGGAACTGTCTTCTTTGAATTTAGAAATGTCAAACCTTGAGCACTCTTTTATTAAGGGTCTGTATAGTGCATTTGACTCAAAAGCGGACCGATGAATTGCAATCTAACTCGAAAACTAATAAATATATAATACTCAATGAAACGCTGATCATAATCAACACATCAGACCAACTCTGTGATTTGTGTGCAGAATTTATGTCCTAAAATCAAAAAAATTGTTTAACAAATCATCACTAAAATATTGACACAGTTCACTATTTTGCACGAGGGAGGAGTGCTTAGCAACAACTCTCTTGCATATTTTGCATATTTTGCCTCGATGGCATGCGATGTTTCCAGTTTCATCAAGGATGGACAATTATTTTCAAATATTGTGATTATGCATTGATACGCAATTGAATCATTTTGTTAGAATGTATATAAGTTCAGATTCTGCTTTTGAAAATATTTTGAAATATTTGTCTTGTCACCTAAAAAAGTCAATTAGGCCACACTGTAACGTGTCACCTACGGCTGTCAACAATGTCAATGTTGGAAGGAAGGTTCATCAAATGAAATAAAACTTGATAAATATGTGAATTTTTTACAAAGACTTGTTATAAGTTATGTAGTCAGACCATGTAATCAATTCCAGCAAAAATAGTTCGGTATATCGGGATTGCAATAGTTTTTCAGTATCACGATGCATGTCGAGTTGTTTGTTTCCCGCCATAGCCATGATCATTCCTATTCAGCAAATCGTTAATGTAACATTGAGATTGTTTTTGTAGATGACTAATCAAACTGAAAGTTTGCTAAGTTTTAGAAAAGGGGGAACTTTTCTTCACCAAAGAACAAAAGTATTGATCAAATTATACAAAATCATGACATTATGAAGAAAATATTAGACAGAGAACCATACTGTGTGAAGTGCATGAAGTCACCAATGGCCGTTGTTTGTAGCTGTACTCCGAGAAATTTGGTCAGTACATTTTTAATTTGTGGGCTTTTAGTTTTAAGGGCCATAAACTATTTGAAATTTGTATATTTAGAAAACTAGGCCCTAAAATCATACATAATTCAAATGCCACGTAAATCCTACTTAATCAATAATTATTGCAAGTTGTACTGTATATTACCGTCTATAAGACGACCCCATGGATAAGACGACCCCCAAACTTGACCCTTAAAATCAGTGTCAAAATAGTATGTTTCGTGCATAAGTCGTTCCCCCGCGATGGGGTCCTAATCGCGGCAAACACAGACCACAGACAACTGGCAGTTACCAATAATTATAACTTTGGTCCACATTATTCAAAGAATTCACAATCATATATATTGCGTCTACTCACGGATCGAAATGAAGTGTAGTTGACAAAAAATGCATAATATATTTTGCTTCTCTAAATATCATATTTATTGTAGCAACAAACTGGCTTGCTTATTTTACCCCATTCAACAATCACGAACTGATTACCGCCTCGTTATCCATTGACTGCTAGTTTACAGTAACATCGGTAAAAATGTGTGAATTTAAATGGCTTCCGTATTTTACCCCATTCCATGTGCGTACAACTTCTGCTTACCACGTTCATGAGGGTCCGTATAACCTTAGTGTTGATTATATATATTTTACATAAAAACTGTAATCAAAATTACACAATGCTAGGATATATTTCTTAGGGTTAAATAATAGTAGTCTGTGTTATATTTTACTGATGACTGCGTCAGAATTCGTCCCGTTATATTATTGTGCATGTTTGAACTTGATCACCGGGAAACATGCACAGCTGATTGCTATTTCCGGCTCAGATACACACAGTAATCTTAGTCCCTGCAAATAATACAATGCCCAGCAAAAACAACTTAGAACTTAAAAGGTAAATAATCTTGTCTAGTGATGTTTAATTGCAAATTTGACATCTCTACTGACAAATTCGTCTTTCACGCGAAGTGATACAATCTCAAGGATATCATATCATATGACAAATACTATAGCTATCAATTTAGGTCACAGTGACCTACTTTCAACAAAATGGTGCATGTTATTCTATTTAATAATTTTGGAGTGAGTATGATGTTATGCCACTTTTAGCAATATTTCAGCAATATCGCGGCAGGGTACACCAGAAATGGACTTCACACATTGTAGCCATGTATGGAATCAAACCCGGATCTTCGGCGTGACAAGCAACCACTAGGCTACCTCACTGCCCCGTAACAATGTTGGAAAGCCTGTGGAAATGTTGGTGAAATACAAGGTCAAATTTACTATCCTGGTCATACATTGAAATGTTACATGCAATGTAACACAGGAAATGTGTTCAGCAGTAGTGTAGTTGGATTTGGTACATATCCATAAGGTGGAAACTGAAGTGGTCTGGTTTCGAGAGAAACCTTCATTGAAGGGCGATGCTCATGCTGTTGATCACTGGACTGTCTGGTCCAGACCGCCACCATATGGCTGGAATATTGCTGAGTGTGGCGTAAAAGCAAACTCACTCACTCACTCACTCATTGAAGGCCTAGGTTATAGGAATGATCATTACTTGGGTAGTTTGACATCCTTGTGTGAACCAATAAACCACTGTGCGTACATGAAATGTTCCGTAAAGGCTTGCACTTCTCGTTTATATTACAAATAATCAGCTGTCTAGCATTACATGTGTCACATGTTTCTCCAACATGAAGGGATTTCATTCAAGATGTGATATCAGTGAATTATTGGGTGAATCTGTTCCAGAGATTTATCAGTTAGTGAATTGAAAAAGTTTTCTCCTAATCTACTTAGCACACTTGTCTCTGGGTACAAAAATATATCTCCTATATCAGGGGATGAGAAGCACATGTCAACTAGATCTTTTGGCATATGGAATAAACAAAAAGCACATGACCCCTTTTCATGCAAATATACAACAAATTTGGATCATATTGCATCTCAGCTTTGCAGTTAAAGAAACCCCATCAAATTACACATATCACAAGATTTGAGTAAAACGAGTTCTGGAAAAGCTAGTGATGATCATCATTGTCCAGCAGAAAAAGCACCATGGTTTACCATGGTCAGCCATGGCTTATCACGGAAAACCATGGTATCACCTACATTTCTTCCAATGTTATACCATGGTAGAACATGGCCACCATGGTCACCAGAAACCATGGTAAACCATGGTCGTTGCATGGTCATCTTAACCCAAAGCAGTGGTAGACCATGGTCATCTCATACAAAGCAATGGTCGCCCATGGTCATCTTAACCCAAAGCAGTGGTGAACCATGGTCATCTTAACCCAAAGCAGTGGTAGACCATGGTCATCTCATACAAAGCAATGGTCGCCCATGGTCATCTCATACAAAGCAATTGTCGCCCATGGTCATCTTAACCCAAAGCAATGGTCGCCCATGGTCATCTCATACAAAGCAATGGTCGCCCATGGTCATCTTAACCCAAAGCAGTGGTAGACCATGGTCATCTGAACCCAAAGCAGTGGTCGCCCATGGTCATCTCATACAAAGCAGTGGTAGACCATGGTCATCTTATGCCAAAGCAGTGGCAGACCATGGTCATCTCATACAAAGCAGAGGTAGACCATGGTCATCTCATACAAAGCAGTGGTAGACCATGGTCATCTCATACAAAGCAGTGGCAGACCATGGTCATCTCATACAAAGCAGTGGTAGACCATGGTCATCTCATACAAAGCAGTGGTAGACCATGGTCATCTTAACCCAAAGCAGTGGTAGACCATGGTCATCTCATACAAAGCAATGGTCGCCCATGGTCATCTCATATAAAACAGTGGTAGACCATGGTCATCACAGACCAATCTTCTATTTCAAACTGTGATAAAAAAAATAAAAAATTGAAATCATGACTGTTTCATGACATTTTGTTTCATTTATGAATAAGAAATAATGGGAGCATTCAATGAAGAGTTATACAATCATATCAAAAGCATTATAAAGGACATGTTAGTGTAAAACGTGTATGTGGCAGATGAAATATATTTTTACCAGATTATAATTTGCCTTTAACGAATGTTCATGACAGGTATCTTACAGATCCTTGTTCTTAAGTTTGTATGCATTAAGCAACTAAAACTTAACAGGTCACTCAGTGAGAGACATGTTCAAATAAAGTGTGTTTTATTGAAAGGTACAAGAACACAATGTCATTGAAAATAATCATATAAAGGAACAGTTTACCTGAGTTAACCAACTCATTGCTACTGCCGAGATACACAAACAAATAAGGAATAATTAATGTCTTATACTCTGGAAAAGCAAAACAAATATAACCCTCAGCACATCTGAAAATAAAATACGGTTAATTTCGCCCATCCCCTTTGCTAAAGTTGCTTATTTAACTGTGTAAATTCCATCTCTTGTCTTAATTGCTTTTGTGCCTGTTACCTTTTGTTGTTTGTGAAGTAAAACAACAACAAAAACAATGTACAACAGAAGGCGAACAATTCTGTGCGTTACACGATCTGACTCAATAACCTAGATAGTTAAGGGTATGAATACCTTCTGTTAATAGCTGTGTAACCAGTTAGTGCTGTGGAAATTTTCTAATTGTCTTTCTTATTCATATTTACATAGATGCCAACCTTTACGCTTTGGGCGTAATTATTATGATTTTGACCATTAAATTACGCCATTACACTTAATCTGCTAAATTATGCTTTTCTACTCGTTTTTACAAAAATCAATAAAGTGGAAAAAAATTAACAGGGAAGTGTTTCATAATGCACCGGTACAGCGGTTCAGAAATGGTCTTACTCGTATCATCGCGCTCATTCCAATTAACTTATGAGGAATTAAAAATATTTTGTGTCACATGGCCAATAATTTTTCGATGTATGGAGCTTCATAATGATTGGTCACATATATTTCAATCTAGAATGTTTTGATTACCAATGATTGGTCGTTTTATTTAGGTCAGTGATGTTCAATTTCATTGGCCCAGTGAGTTATGACTCTGCAATATGGCGACAACAAAATAGCGATTTTCATAGCTTGAATGTTTGTGCAGGTATTTTTGTTAAATTTACAAATTCCTTCAAAAGTTCGTGTTTGCACAGTTTGTATTTCGTGAATACTGTCCAGAATGACACTTTGTTATTGACCATGTTATCATGTCATTAAAACATTGTGAAGGGGCTTCAGGTTTTATCATTGTAGTTTGTTTTATACATGTTCAAATAAGTACCCCCTTCTTTCAATTTCTTTAGCGCCCAGAGCGCTCATCAAGATGAATACGGTAGTTACTATCACACTGATGATAACTTAACATGATCTCTACAATTACACTTTCAAAAACAACACTTCCCCTCAAGTGTGAAAGTACTAAATAAACTCATGCACTGAAAACAAACTGCTTTAATTAGGAAGCTACATTTTATTACTAACATTGCCACAGATGTAAATGAAAGACAATTTGAACATTTGAAGATAGCTGTTGGGAAGCTCACAGGGATTGAAGGATATGCTGTGCAACTAGTACAAGTCTAAAGGAAACTAGAATTACATATCCAGTAATGGCGTGTGGACATGTGTTCATCATTTTTCAGAGGACATTCTTATTCATTACTTTATTTGAAAAATGTCTTTCGGACAGCTTGGATGTCAATCAGTCTGTATCCAGGAATTAACTAATCCAGAACACCATTTCATGCATTAATATACGATTTCAGAAAGTGTAGTCTCTTTAGTCTATATGGTTTAGAACTAAACTTAATGAGAATCACGACCAACAGGGAAATTACAACATTGGTTCAGGCATAGTGAGTGAGTGAGTTTAGTTTTACGCCACTTTTAGCAATGTTCCAGCAATATCACGGCAAGGGACACCAGAAGGGGGTTACACACATTGTACCCATGTGGGGAAGATCTTCAGCAAGAAGAGCAAACGCTTTATGCACTAGGCTACCCCACCATCCCGGCTGAGGAATATAATCATCTAGCAGAGCTTTATCTTCAGCGTTTCAACATTAGGACAATTTCGTCCAGTGGAAATCTGAAAAACAAACCAACAACATTTAATCACAGTCTTTCCATTTGAAAGAGTCTTAAGTAAATAGACCGCCTCCGTGGTGTAGTGGTTAGAGCGTCCGCCCGGAGAGCGGAAGGTCGCGGGTTCGATCCCCGACCGCGTCATACCAAAAGACATTAAAATATGGTACTTGTTGTCTGGCGCTAGGCATTAATGGGCACAACAAGGACTGGTCGGCTTGGAGTCAGTATAATGTGGCTGAATGGGGTATTCATGCTTCACTGCGGCATGGTATCTCAGTGGGCTAGCACTATAAAACCAGCTTCAGTCTGGGCTAGTACAAGCAGCCGCACATACACACGCATGCACGTCGTCATATAAGTGAAATATTCTCAAGCACGACGTTAAACCCAATTTCACCTCACCTCACCCCAAGTAAATATTTAATCTGTGTTAATTTTGTTTCAATTTTTTGTCTATCATTCCTCAAAATGTTAAGTATTTTTAACATGTTTAAGATCATATTTCACCAGACGATATTTATACTATTTGAAATAATTTCAGATGACTTTAAATTATTTTTTAATATGTTTGTTTCATTCAAAATGAGAGTCTATATTAAGTAACAAAACATGCATTAGAATTGGCTTCTAAATCACGAGTCACATTCATAACCAAATGTATTCTGTAATGTTTTTATTTCCCATTACTTACTATAATCACCATATCATAATACCGAAAAACGTATCTTATCATATATGAACCTGTTACCACGTTAAATGAATGGGTAAAAGTTTTGGAACAGTCATATTTTGTTTACAATCAGTAGTTATTCGCTGTCAAAATGAACATTTCATAGACGGCTATTTCTTACATTATCTTTCCATCATTTTCTTCAAAGAGTGTTGCTTATTTCTTCACCTATGTTTGTATGTGTGTATTCCGGTACTCAAAACAATTTCAATATTGCTATTACAGTGGAAGCTCTCAAAACCGGCAGCCCTCCAATCTGGTATGCTCTCATATCGGCACTAGAATTTGGTCCTGGCAGAACTAGTTTATTTATGATCATTTACACGCCCTCTAATCTGGCGTAAGTCTATTCCATATTTCGGCACAACAAGGACCGCCCAATTGACTGTTTGTACAGTAATTAATATGCCCTCTAAACCAGCATCAGGTATTTCGTCTCTCCTGTTGATTGGCTGATTGGCTGAACGTGTATTAACAACACAGTGAATTACCATCGGCATTAAGCTCATTGATGTTTCCTGATAAAAGGAGTACGGATAAGGATTAGGCCCAAGTAGGTGAGGTAAATTGGTGAGTGGCATGTGTCACTTGTATTATAAATTGATTGTCATGTCACAATTTGTCAGTACCGTTGCTGAAATACCTTAGTTGTGTGTGCAATGTTAATTAAGCAAATAATTACTAATTTGTCAGTCGCTCACCGTGTTAAGATGGCTAGACCAGTCAAGTGGGCTAGATTGGAATTAACTCTTGAACAGACATATGATAACTATCAACACGGTGTTCAGTCGTATTTTACGAAGACGGAAGATCATTCTCAGGTTGAAAAGGGAAAAATTCTCTAAACCGGCACACCCTCTAAACCGGCATTTCTTGCCGGTCCCAACGAATGCCGGTTTAGAGGGCTTCCACTGTATTTACTTACCATTCATATTTGTGGGTAGAGATTATGATGACAGTATCATTTGAACGTTCCATAAAAATGTTGGATACTGTTGAGGACGGATGGATCCAAATGAGGATATTCTACACCTGCAACAGTCGAAAGTAGATCTAATATTTTTCAACAAAACTTGGCACATATATCAAGCTATGTGCAGATTTTTCACTGCTGGGTGACGTCACGAACCTGGAAGTGTAATTGTCCCCTGCCGCAACGCGGAACGGGGGACTATGTATTCAGCGGTGTACGTACGTCCCGATTCTTGTTAACGCGATATCTCATGAACTGTTGCACCCAATGTCTTCAAATTTGGTGACAGCCTACATTGGGTGATTACGCAGACACCAGTCGATTTGGGTGACCTTGACCTTATTTTCAAGGTCACCACGACAATTACCACTTTTCAAACTGTTGTTAACGTGATATCTCATGCACTGTTGTACCCAGTGTCTTCAAATTTGGTGACAGCCTACATTGGGGGATTACGCAGACACCACTGTATTTGGGTGACCTTGACCTTATTTTCAAGGTCACCACGACACTTTTCACACTTTATAAACTCTTGTTAACGCGATATCTCATGGACTGTTGTACCCAATGTCATCAAATTTGGTGACAGTTTACATTGGGGTATTACACAGACACCAGTTTATTTGGGTGACCTTGACCTTATCTTCAAGGTCACCACGATACTTTGACTGCTTTTTAAAGGCGATATCTCATAAAACATTGCACCCAATGTTTTCAAGTATGTTGACAGCCTACATTGGGTGATTATGCAGACACCAGTCATTTCAGGCATCTTGTATGTGACCCCAAAATAAAAAGTAGTAAATATAGATATTCCATTCTTTAGCGGCGGGGGACATTGCCACATCAGTGGCAAACACTTGTTTTGTTACATATTTATTTGCTCACCAAAGACAAATCATACAACTGACCTGCCTAATATTTGGTGATGTAGCCCTTGGACGTGTAAACTTCCAAAATTCTGCAAGGAATGCTCCTGTATAAGTTTTTAAAGCAGTCAACAGTCATAGATTCCCACATATCTCTCCTAACAGATCTTTGGTAGTGTTGATGTTATGAACATGTGTTTTCAACTCTTTTTTGATACAAAGCCAAATGTTTTGTATAAGGTTCATATCTTTTGGGATCCGTCCAACTGCATGTGTCCAATTCCTGGTTTTCTCACACTCAATTTGTTTCTGATACTCAAATTATGCATAATCTTCACTTAATGACTTGAATAATTCAAGATAAGAAACAATGTTCACACATGAGTATTCGCTAAACTTTTGACTTCTTCATACAATTGACTGAGCTCACAGTAATGGTTGCAACAATAGCACAAGCAAGATGCTTCTTAAGACTTGTCAATATCTAATGAAACACAAGTGACATCAATAGGGCAAAACTGATTACTATATATCTTTGTCACCCTGACTGCCAATTATGTGTGAAAATTATAGCGAGTCCATCAATCAAATTACCATGGAAACAATGACACCATTTGGTTGTGTGAAACCCTGGATAACTTTCTTCGGTTCTTCACAAGTTCCATTTACCAAAGTTTACAGATTTACTGGTATATGTACACGGTATCTGACAGTATGAAACCTTATGCAATTCATTCAAGATAAGACAGGTGTTTTCTCATGTGTCATCACCTCCTCATCTTTGTACAATGACAAATTGTTTTTCTGCAAACTTCTGTGTTAAAAGTCATGATGATCAACTTAAGGTTTAACAAGAAATGTGCATGATTTTTTACTTACACTTCAACTACATCTAATTGTAGACAACAACGTTGGACACACAAAAGTAAAGGTGAAGCTCATTTACACATTTAGCACTCTGAGCTACTTGCTGAAGCCAGCAGCAGCAGCAGCAGCAGCTTTAGGCCTCTATCGGAAACCACTGCTATCTGGTCCATGAACTGTGGGGCGGTGGGGTAGCCTAGTGGTTAAAACGTTTCGCACGTCACGCCGATGACCTGGGTTCGATTCCCCACATGGGTATA